CAATAACTTGGGGTATTCTCCCTTGGGGCCCCGCTATTGCACTAACACCAATGATCTGGCTGGTATTCCTCTGTCAGCAATAATTTTGTGTAGGCAGGGGGGGGGGGGGCATTCTCCCCTGGGGGTCACTAGTCTATTGACATCAAACATTTGTATACTTAATCCTGCCAGGGGCCCACTGTTCCACTGAAAGCAATATTTTGGGGGCCACTACACCGACAGTAATGATTTGAAGGCGTGTTCTCAACTGGGGCCACTATTCCACTGACATCAATTATTTAGGGGGCTTTTCTCCGGTGGGGGTCACTATCTCACTGATCATTTGGGGGCTCTTTTCTCTTGGGCCCACTATTCCACTAACATCAATGATTTTGGAGTGGGTATTCTCCCTCGGGGCCCACTATATAACTGACACCAATGATTTGGGGGTGCTATGCTCCCATGGGGGCCACTTTCTGACACCAATAGTTTAGGGGCCATTCTCCCTTGGGTACCATTATTCCTCTGACAGCAATGATCTGAGGAACTCTCATTCCCTGGGGCCAGCATCCCACTGATTTTGGGGGCCACTATTCAACTTACAGCAATGATTTTGGGTTCTGTTCTCCCCTGGAACCCACTCATCCACTGACGTCAATGATTTAGGAGTTAATCTTCCCTGGGGGGAGCATTATTCCAATGACAGTCTTAATCTGGCGAGGTTATTCTCCTGTGGGGGCCACTGTCTCACTGATCTCAATGATTTGGGGGCTATTTTCCCTTTGGCCCACTATTTTACTATCATCAGTAATTTGGGGGTTCACAATCTCTCCTGGAGACTACTATTGGCACAAAAGATATGGGGGCCTATTCTCCTTTTGGGGACACTATTCCACTGTCAGCAATGATTTGGGGGACTAGGCTGCTCTGGGCCGCTATTCTACATAATTTGGGGACACTATCTTCCCCTGGGGTCACTATATGCCAATAATTTGGGAAACAATTTTTCCCCGGGGACAAGTTACCTACTGCCACCAATGTATTAGGGGGCTATTTTCCCTGGTGCCATTATTTCAGTGACGGCAATGATCTGAGGGGCTGTTATTCCCTGGGGCCACTATCCCACTGGTATCAATTTAAGGGGGTAATCTTCCGTTTGGGCCACTACTCCAATGACAGCAATGATCCGAGGGACTGTTATTCCCTGGGGCCACTGTCCTACTGACATCAATGATTTAGGGGGGGTAATCTTCCGTGGGGGCCACTACTCCAATGACATCAATGATTTAGGGGGGGTAATCTTCCATGGGGGCCACTACTCCAATGACAGCAATGATCCGAGGGACTGTTATTCCCTGGGGCCACTGTCCTACTGACATCAATGATTTAGGGGGGTAATCTTCCGTGGGGGCCACTAGTCCAATGACAGCAGTGATCCGAGGGACTGTTATTCCCTGGGGCCACTGTCCTACTGACATCAATGATTTAGGGGGGTAATCTTCCGTGGGGACCACTAGTCCAATGACAGCAGTGATCTGAGGGACTGGTATTCCCTGGGGCCACTGTCCTACTGACATCAATGAGTTAGGGGGGTAATCTTCCGTGGGGGCCACTACTCCAATGACAGCAGTGATCCGAGGGACTGTTATTCCCTGGGGCCACTGTCCTACTGACATAAATGATTTAGGGGGGTAATCTTCTGTGGGGGCCACTACAATGACAGCAATGATCCGAGGGACTGTTATTCCCTGGGGCCACTGTCCTACTGACATCAATGATTCAAGGGGGGTAATCTTCCATGGGGGCCACTACTCCAATGACAGCAATGATTTGAGGTGCTGTTCTAACCTGGGGCCACTGTCCTACTGACATCAATGATTCAGGGGGGGTAATCTTCCGTGGGGGCCACTACTCCAATGATAGCAATGATCCGAGGGACTGTTATTCCCTGGGGCCACTGTCCTACTGACATCAATGATTTAGGGCGGTAATCTTCCGTGGGGGCCACTACTCCAATGACAGCAATGATTTGAGGTGCTGTTCTCCCCTGGGGCCACTATTCTACTGACTCCAATGCTTTGGTGACTTTTTTTTTTCATTGTTTCTATTTAAATGACAGACACTCATATTTCTAACTGAATATCCCCCCCTTTCCCGTATTTTGCATTCCTGTACTTCTAGGATTATTTACTTTTTGTCACTGTTGGGGCAAGAAAGGTTTTGGAAGCAGTTAGTGGGCCTTGATCTCACTAAGGCTGAGAGCCCCCTAATCTAGAGTGTCACATGGCTGGCAGCTCTGAGTAAGCTGGGGTTGTTGACATCATATCCAAGATGCCGCCCCCCCCCCCGCTTCCCCCCAGTAGTAGTCTACACAAGGGGGGCCTTTTACCATCAGCTGCTTAGTGTGGGGGCCAACCTAGCAACAGATTCAGTTAATATACAGTCAGGTGGTCCTTCACAATGCGTAGTGATGGGAAACTCTAACGATTGTGCGAGTGGTCGGACTGTTCTTATTGTCAGGCGGTCTGATTTTAAACCTAGTTTGCCTGTAAAACGTGTCTAAATAGGGGGGCCCTGGAAAATGTGTTCAGTTATTACGGGGTACTTGAGATAATTACACACAGATTATTTTTGTTCAGTCTGCAGGCTGAATGAAAACATTCTAAGGTTTCTCCATTCATACTATACTATAGAGGAGTCTCCTGCTGCAGAAATTGTAGTTTGAAAGCTGAAGCCAGCACCCATCAGAATACCCAAACAGCGACTGCGTTTGTTTGGATGCAGCTGCAGTTTTCTGCCCAGCTTCTGATATTGGGTGGTATGTGGCCAATGAGGCCACTCATGTAACGTATTTCGTCCAGTTCTTTATGAGCCAGCCAAAATTTGTAGCTTGGGGTTACTTGATAGACCATTGGTGGTGCCTAAAACTACAGTGCTGGTGTGCTAAGCCTTATTATCTGTCATTATTTGTCATTGTGCATCTTATTCATAAAGTCCCTTTTTTTTTTATTTCAGAACGTGGGCAGAGGGTTTGAAAGTCTGTCTTCTGAAAGGGTGTTTCCTTTGTGAAAATTCCTACCCACTTCCTGTCTAAGTTGGCAGGAAGAGATGGAAATCTCCCACGGGGGAGAGATTTCAACCTTTGCTTATTGTATTTGAAACTAAAATACACGCAGCGGCCACTTTATTAGGTCCACCTGTTCAAGTGCTTGGTAACACAAATTGCTAATCAGCCAATCATATGACAACTCAATGCATTTAGGCATCTAGAGGTGGTGAAGGCGACTCGCTGAAGTTCAAATCGAGCATCAGAATGGGGAAGAAAGGGGATTTAAGTGACTTTGAACATGGCATGGTTGTTGGTGCCAGACGGGCTGGTCTGAGTTTTTCAAAATCTGCTGGGATTTTCACATACAACCATCTCTAGGGAAAGAGAGACTCATCATACCAGGCAACATTTTTCCAATCTTCTATTGTCCAATTTCGGTGAGCCTCTGCAAACTGTAGCCTCCGTTTCCAGTTCTTAGCTGACAGGAGTGGCATCCAGTGTGGTCTTCTGCTGCTGTAGCCCATCTGCTTCAAGGTTTAACGTGTTGTGCATTCAGGGATGGTTTTCTGCATACCTTGGTTGTAACAGGTGGTTATGTGAGTTACTGTTGTCTTTCTATCATCTCAAACCAGTCTGCCCATTCTCCTCTGACATCAACAAGGCGTTTTCATCCACATAACTGCACTCACTGGATATTTTCTCTTTTTTGGATCATTCTCTGTAAACCCTAGAGATGGTTGTGAATGAAAATCCCAGCAGATCAGCAGTTTTTGAAATACTCCGACAAGCCTGTCTGGCACCAACAACCATGCCACGTTCAAAGTCACTTAAGTCCCCTTTCTTCCCCATTCTGTTGCTTGGTTGACCTTCAGCAAGTTGTCTTCATCACGTCTACATGCCTAAATGCATTGAGTCGCTGCCATTTGATTGGTTGATTAGCAATTTGTGTTACCAAGCAATTGAACTGGTGTACCTAATAAAGTGGCCGGTGTGTGTAAATGTTTTGTCTAGAGTTGAAGTTTATTCAAATTAACCGCTTCTGCACCGCCCTATAGCAGAAATACTGGTACAGGGCGGCAAGGGTGCGCAAAATCTCAATTATATACAAGATTTTGCAGTTTCGGGTAGGGGGCACGTGCGCACCCTACCTGTGCCACCATTCACGGCCTCAGCTGTCAGTCACTGGGTCCCGGTCGGTGATCTCCGAGGATTTCCAACGGGGAGAGACCTGTATGTAAACAATACAGTTCTCTCCCCTGTCAGCTCCTGCACACTGCTTTGTATGGCTCTGCATAGCAAGGCCATACAAAGAAGTGTGCTTACAGTGAAACGCACACAGAGCCCCCATAGTAAAACAGCACACAGTTAACCCCTTCCTGCCCAGTGTCATTAGTACAGTGCCACTGCTTTTTGTTAGCACTGATCACTGTATTGGTGTCACTGGAGATGTCAGTTACACCAAGTCGGTTCCCTCCAGGGTCAGAATGCCCACCGCAGTTCCGATCGCGCCATTACTAGTAAAAAGAAAAAAAAAATCCAATATATATACTGCCATTTGTAAACGCTGTATCTGGCCTAAATTTTGTGCTGAAATTTGATTTTTTTACATTTTTTTTTACTGGACATGTTTAATAGCAAAAAGTAAAAAAAATATATATATTTTTTTTTTCAAAATTGTCGTTTTTTTTGTTTATAGCGCAAACAATAACGCACAGGCGATCAAATACCACCGAAAGAAAGCTCTATTGGTGGGGAAAAAAAAAAGGACTTCAATTTCATTTGGGTGCAGCATTGCATGACCGCTCAATTATCAGTTAAAGTAATGCATCGCCGTATAGCAAAAAAATGGCCTGGTCAGGAAGGGGGGTAAATCCTCTGGAGGGCAAGTGGTTGACAAGAAATGTGTTGGAAAAGGTAAACATCTGTGGAATTATTAGTATGTGTGTTTATTAATGTTGACTTTTTCATTTTTAGCAGGATGGCGTTGGACAGGAGGTTCTTAAAATGTCAACAGAAGAGATTATCCAGAGGACACGGCTCCTGGACAGTGAAATAAAGGTAAGCGTCACACTTATATTTATATATAAAAAAAAATTGAGTCTTTATATTTTGTGGAAAAGCAATCCAGGCCTTGTGCTCTATATAATTATTATTATTATACAGTATTTATAAAGCGCCAATAGTTCGCTCAGTGCTGTACATTACAAAGGGGGACAGAACATGTGACAGAACAATAACAATACAATGCAAAACGTGAGGGGATCGAGGGCCCTGCTCTTTCGAACTTACAATCTAGGAGGGAGTGGGTGGTGGCACAGGAGGAGAAAGCTGTGGGGGATGGAGTGGTAGGAAGAGTGGAGGAGGTCGGCAAGTTAGCAGGGGGTGGGGTAGGCTTCCCTGAAGAGATGGGTTTTCAGGGTGCGCCTAAAGGAGAGGAGAGTAGGTGATAATCTGATGGGTTGGGGCACGGAGTTCCAGAGGATGGGTGACACCCTGGAGAAGTCCTGGAGGCGGGCATGGGAGGAGGAGACCAGGGAACTAGAGAGAAGGAGGTCTTGTGAGGAGCGGAGTGTGTGTGCTGGGGTGGTACTTGGATATTAGGTCAGTGATGTAGTTCGGGGCAGTATGGTGGACAGCTTTGTACGTCAGTGTTAGGATTTTGAATTTGATCCGTTGCGCAAGCGGAAGCCAGTGGAGGGATTGGCAGAGGGGGGTGGCGGAGATGGAGCGGTTGGAAAGGTGAATGAGTCTGGCAGCCGTATTCAGGATCGACTGAAGCGGGGATAGCCAGCGGCGAGGCAGGCCAGTGAGGAGGGAGTTGCAGTAGTCGAGTCGTGATATGATGAGGGAGTGGATGAGCTGTTTAGTGGTTTCTGGGGTTAGGAACGTGCGGATTTTGGTGATGTAAAGAACATATATGTATTGTGACTGTAAAGTAGACATGAGGCTACATGTAATTCTTTTTTTTTTTTTTTTTTTTGGTATAGGTAAATTGGTTACTTTCTCCCACTCTTCCAGGGCACATCACCATCAGTCAGTTTACAAAAAAGGAAATGTTTTCGGATTAATTGTATAAATACCTTTTTAAATCTTCATTGTGTATAGGTCATGTGGCCACTTCTTTTATTCTGCTATGTGTGGCCCAGGTCGGGACTAATCCTCAGCATGTCATGTTTTGGTGACATCACTTAAGCTTTTTCTCTCCCCTGACACCATCCCCATCCTTCTCAGCCATGCAGAGCAGATCTGTACACCCTGCAGGCTTGCTGCTATGACATGGGCAGCTGGAACACTTATGCCTACACGGTAAGCCATGTATAGATGTGGCTTGCTTCTTAGAGAAAAGGGGAGCGTGCACATGGTGGTGGCTGTATGAGCCAAAAGATCATTGCCACTGAGGAAAAGGAGGTACTGACTGGTGTGATTAACAGATAATTTATATATATTAGAGAAGAGGGAGTCACAGAATGCATGTTTGTTTTTAAAAATAATTTGAAAGGTATTTCTTTTTTGGAAGGGGGGGGGGGTGTCTACCGCCACTTTAAAACCCCTCTCAAGTTTTTTAAGCTTTGTTGTCTTTCACCTGTTGAGGATAAATTCCCTATTAGACCGTGATCCTCAGAACAAGTGTCCCCAAGTTTCCTCTCACTTCTTCTTTGAGTGACACTCTTTATATCAGGTGTCGCTTGCCGAGAAAGGAGACACCTCACTAAAGGGGACATATGACACATGTCGTGGTTCTAACTTACCTGACTGTATCCAAAGTTTAAACAACAAAAAAAAAAGGTTTTAATGGAGTTTAGTTATTTAATATTTTTCCCTCCTCCAGACAGAAATGGGGGTTCTTCTATTGTACAGATGACATGTTTTATTGAGTTGTCTAAGTAATGAATGATTTGATTGTCTGCATTTCAGATCATGAAGAGCGAGGTTTTGCGAGTTACACACGAGTTACAAGCAATGAAGGATAAAATTAAAGAAAACAGTGAGAAAATCAAAGTGAATAAAACTCTTCCCTATTTGGTATCCAACGTCATTGAGGTGAGTGCATAATTGTTTCTTTCCCAACAGGTTTAATAACATATAAAAGTAGAGTTCAGGTGGCACAAGCATACTATTTCCATGCGTAATATTGCAGCTGCTATGAATGTTTTGTACTGTAGTTGCATTAGGTACGTAAGGTAAACAGCACTGTGTTCTGGCAGCGTTTGCGGCCACTTTCATGTTCCATCAGAATACAAAAAAGATTTGGACTGAGTGCTTCCCCACCATTTATTTTTTATTAATGAATACAAGGCTTCCCGTGATTGGCTGAGGTGAACAGGCAGGAGGATGATGTCTCAATTTACACCTCAGCCAATCAGAGGAGGCCACAGCTTTCTGTGATGGTGTGCCAACAGTCCCGCACTGCCCCTGAATTCCAGGGTGTGCTTACTTGCACTAGAGTGAGTTATAAAGGTGTTGCAGGGGAATAGCTATCAGCATTGCTAATGCCTATTCTCAACCCTATAGCTTGCCGATCAGCACCTGGCCACACCTAGTCTTACCTGCTGCTTTCTGGATTGACAGCACTGCGTGTTACTAAAATTTTCCAACTGTGAGCTGCAACATCAGGGAGGGAGAGTGCATAACACAAAAAAATGGAGGAGGATTAGGTCAGTCAGGGAAAGTTTTTAAAAACCTTCATAGGGCTCCCTTTATGGCTGCTGTAAGGTAGTGGCTGAGGTTTTCTCCAAAATGTATTATTTACCTCTTGAGACAAGCAGGTAATTGATTAACTCTGTCAGTATCTTTGGCACTTGACACTTCCATGAGTATCTGGTGTCTGTTTCTTCGGCTGTGTGCTGTGGTCTCGTCCTCTGCTCCTTTTTATTACTTCTGAACCCCGTAGTGCCTTAGGGGTTTCAGAATGGAACCACGTTGTGTGGTAGGAGACACAGGTATACCACAATCCTGAAAATGTTGAATGCCGAACAGTCTTACAGAGGCTACAGTGCTGTAACTAAGTGAGGGTGGGGGACTTTGGCTGCTGGTGATGTGATTATAATACCTCTTATTGCAGGGCCCTTTTGATTGTGATCTGTTTTTTTTTTTTTTTTTTTAATAATCAGGTATTTACTGAGGTTTTTACAATTCAAAAAAATTAAATATGCGGCAAAAGAGGTAGTCGGTTTGTTAATGTACAAGCAGGAGTGCGTCATACAGTCATTGTATATCCTGAAACTGGCAACAGAAACATATATTGTTGATATGCCAGCCAATGCCCATCAAATGAAGCAGTGTTGCATACAATACAAGACACAGAAACAGTAGAAAAAAAAAATCAGAAACCTGAGGAAAGGATTCCCAGGAAGACAATCGCATAACCGATTTTAGTGGTGCACGTCCAGGGGAGGAAAAGAGAATGGGTTGCCTAATGACAAAACCTGTAACTCTATATTCAGAAGGAAAAAAAAATCCAAATCAAGTTTAGTGTGTTGGGGATGTCTTGTCTTGGCGGAGTGGCTTTCCCTTCCAGGGTACTCTGTGTTTTTCTGCTCCTTATAGTTCTCTGTGATATATAAATTATAGTATATTAAGACTAGACTGTTCAAGAAAAATTCAGTATAGTCAAGGTTTTACAATGCAGAGTGACTCCAGATCAAGCACACCTGAGTCTGTGGAGCCCTTTTTTCACATTTTTCTTCCCTCTCCCTCCCCCTCACTCTGATTATAGGTGTCACTACAGGACTGTGGAAGCAATTTGTTTAAATCACTGATCTTTCCAAAAGTTAAAGCTTCATTTCCTTCTGTATCATGACATACATGATTATCCATGTAAAAAAATGATTGGCTAATTCATGTACTCAATCTTGTAATGTCTTTTGTTATGTGTTTTTTTTTTTTTTTTTTTCCAGCTGCTAGATGTGGACCCCAATGACCAGGAGGAGGATGGTGCAAACATTGATCTAGATTCCCAGAGAAAGGGAAAGTGTGCCGTTATTAAAACATCCACTCGACAGGTAAAAGGCAAAATTCCTATATACTGACTTTTGTGCTTTTTTTCCTGTATGAGTTTACGTTGAATGTGCAATTCATAGTTCAATGGGCATTGCAGTGCTGTTTAATATTAAAATCTCCTCTGTTTTTCATTGTCTTGTAAATTGAGATGTTAAAGCAGACATTGCACTACATGCAAGGCCACTGTTTACCTTTTTCCTCCCCCGACCTTGCTGAAACGTAGGGAAAATACATTTTACTCACCTTTCCCCTGAGTTTTGTGGTAAAGGGGGTGACATTATCATCTTCTGATGAGATCCCAGCAAATGTTTTGTACTCTGAATCGCATGAGAAGACGCTACACTACTGGAAGCATTCTCTTAGTGAGATTGAGTACTATATGTTCCCTGGATCTTGCTGAAAGGAGAGTAATGTCAGAGGCAGAGCCAGGGTAATGTCGCCCTCACAGGCAGAGCCAGGGTAGTGTCACCCTCACAGGCAGAGCCAGGGTAGTGTCACCCTCACAGGCAGAGCCAGGGTAGTGTCACCCTCACAGGCAGAGCCAGGGTAGTGTCACCCTCACAGGCAGAGCCAGGGTAGTGTCACCCTCACAGGCAGAGCCAGGGTAGTGTCACCCTCACAGGCAGAGCCAGGGTAGTGTCACCCTCACAGGCAGAGCCAGGGTAGTGTCACCCTCACAGGCAGAGCCAGGGTAGTGTCACCCTCACAGGCAGAGCCAGGGTAGTGTCACCCTCACAGGCAGAGCCAGGGTAGTGTCACCCTCACAGGCAGAGCCAGGGTAGTGTCACCCTCACAGGCAGAGCCAGGGTAGTGTCACCCTCACAGGCAGAGCCAGGGTAGTGTCACCCTCACAGGCAGAGCCAGGGTAGTGTCACCCTCACAGGCAGAGCCAGGGTAGTGTCACCCTCACAGGCAGAGCCAGGGTAGTGTCACCCTCACAGGCAGAGCCAGGGGTAGTGTCTCCCTCAGAGGCAGAGCCAGGGTAGTGTCTCCCTCAGAGGCAGAGCCAGGGTAGTGTCTCCCTCAGAGGCAGAGCCAGGGTAGTGTCTCCCTCAGAGGCAGAGCCAGGGTAGTGTCTCCCTCAGAGGCAGAGCCAGGGTAGTGTCTCCCTCAGAGGCAGAGCCAGGGTAGTGTCTCCCAGAGGCCAGCAGGGTAGGCAGAGCCAGGGTAGTGTCTCCCCCAGCGGCAGAGCCAGGGTAGTGTCTCCCCAGCGGCAGAGCCAGGGTAGTGTGTCTCCCCCAGAGGCAGAGCCAGGGTAGTGTCTCCCCAGCGGCAGAGCCAGGGTAGTGTCTCCCCCAGCGGCAGAGCCAGGGTAGTGTCTCCCCCAGGGTAGTGTCTCCCCCAGCGGCAGAGCCAGGGTAGTGTCTCCCCCAGCGGCAGAGCCAGGGTAGTGTCTCCCCCAGCGGCAGAGCCAGGGTAGTGTCTCTCCCCCAGCGGCAGAGCCAGGGTAGTGTCTCCCCCAGCGGCAGAGCCAGGGTAGTGTCTCCCCCAGCGGCAGAGCCAGGGTAGTGTCTCCCCCAGCGGCAGAGCCAGGGTAGTGTCTCCCCCAGCGGCAGAGCCAGGGTAGTGTCTCCCCCAGCGGCAGAGCCAGGGTAGTGTCTCCCCCAGCGGCAGAGCCAGGGTAGTGTCTCCCCCAGCGGCAGAGCCAGGGTAGTGTCTCCCCCAGCGGCAGAGCCAGGGTAGTGTCTCCCCCAGCGGCAGAGCCAGGGTAGTGTCTCCCCCAGCGGCAGAGCCAGGGTAGTGTCTCCCCAGCGGCAGAGCCAGGGTAGTGTCTCCCCCAGCGGCAGAGCCAGTGTCTCCCCCAGCGGCAGCCAGGGTAGTGTCTCCCCCAGCGGCAGAGCCAGGGTAGTGTCTCCCCCAGCGGCAGAGCCAGGGTAGTGTCTCCCCCAGCGGCAGAGCCAGGGTAGTGTCTCCCCCAGCGGCAGAGCCAGGGTAGTGTCTCCCCCAGCGGCAGAGCCAGGGTAGTGTCTCCCCCAGCGGCAGAGCCAGGGTAGTGTGTCCCCCCCAGCGGCAGAGCCAGGGTAGTGTCCCCCCCAGCGGCAGAGCCAGGGTAGTGTCTCCCCCCCAGCGGCAGAGCCAGGGTAGTGTCTCCCCCCCAGCGGCAGAGCCAGGGTAGTGTCTCCCCCCCCCCCAGCGGCAGAGCCAGGGTAGTGTCTCCCCCCCAGCGGCAGAGCCAGGGTAGTGTCTCCCCCCCAGCGGCAGAGCCAGGGTAGTGTCTCCCCCCCAGCGGCAGAGCCAGGGTAGTGTCTCCCCCCCAGCGGCAGAGCCAGGGTAGTGTCTCCCCCCAGCGGCAGAGCCAGGGTAGTGTCTCCCCCCCAGCGGCAGAGCCAGGGTAGTGTCTCCCCCCCAGCGGCAGAGCCAGGGTAGTGTCTCCCCCCCAGCGGCAGAGCCAGGGTAGTGTCTCCCCCCCAGCGGCAGAGCCAGGGTAGTGTCTCCCCCCCAGCGGCAGAGCCAGGGTAGTGTCTCCCCCCCCAGCGGCAGAGCCAGGGTAGTGTCTCCCCCCCCAGCGGCAGAGCCAGGGTAGTGTCTCCCCCCCAGCGGCAGAGCCAGGGTAGTGTCTCCCCCCCAGCGGCAGAGCCAGGGTAGTGTCTCCCCCCCAGCGGCAGAGCCAGGGTAGTGTCTCCCCCCCAGCGGCAGAGCCAGGGTAGTGTCTCCCCCCAGCCAGAGCGGCAGAGCCAGGGTAGTGTCTCCCCCCCAGCGGCAGAGCCAGGGTAGTGTCTCCCCCCCAGCGGCAGAGCCAGGGTAGTGTCTCCCCCCCAGCGGCAGAGCCAGGGTAGTGTCTCCCCCCCAGCGGCAGAGCCAGGGTAGTGTCTCCCCCCCAGCGGCAGAGCCAGGGTAGTGTCTCCCCCCCAGCGGGGTAGCCAGGGTGTCTCCCCCCCAGCGGCAGAGCCAGGGTAGTGTCTCCCCCCCAGCGGCAGAGCCAGGGTAGTGTCTCCCCCCCAGCGGCAGAGCCAGGGTAGTGTCTCCCCCCCAGCGGCAGAGCCAGGGGGTCTCCCCCCCAGCGGCAGAGCCAGGGTCTCCCCCCCAGCGGCAGAGCCAGGGTAGTGTCTCCCCCCCAGCGGCAGAGCCAGGGTAGTGTCTCCCCCCCAGCGGCAGAGCCAGGGTAGTGTCTCCCCCCCAGCGGCAGAGCCAGGGTAGTGTCTCCCCCCCAGCGGCAGAGCCAGGGTAGTGTCTCCCCCCAGCGGCAGAGCCAGGGTAGTGTCTCCCCCCCAGCGGCAGAGCCAGGGTAGTGTGTCCCCCCCAGCGGCAGAGCCAGGGTAGTGTCTCCCCCCCAGCGGCAGAGCCAGGGTAGTGTCTCCCCCCAGCGGCAGAGCCAGGGTAGTGTCTCCCCCCCAGCGGCAGAGCCAGGGTAGTGTCTCCCCCCCAGCGGCAGAGCCAGGGTAGTGTCTCCCCCCCAGCGGCAGAGCCAGGGTAGTGTCTCCCCCCCAGCGGCAGAGCCAGGGTAGTGTCTCCCCCCCAGCGGCAGAGCCAGGGTAGTGTCTCCCCCCAGCGGCAGAGCCAGGGTAGTGTCTCCCCCCCAGCGGCAGAGCCAGGGTAGTGTCTCCCCCCCAGCGGCAGAGCCAGGGTAGTGTCTCCCCCCCAGCGGCAGAGCCAGGGTAGTGTCTCCCCCCAGCGGCAGAGCCAGGGTAGTGTCTCCCCCCCAGCGGCAGCCAGGGTAGTGCAGCGGCAGAGCCAGGGTAGTGTCACCCCCCACAGCAGAGCAGGGAGCCAGGGTAGTGTCACCCCCCCAGGCAGAGCCAGGGTAGTGTGTCCCCCCCACAGGCAGAGCCAGGGTAGTGTCACCCCCCCACACGGCAGAGCCAGGGTAGTGTCCCCCACAGGCAGAGCCAGGGTAGGCTCCCCCCCAGAGCCAGGGTAGTGTCTCCCCCCCAGGCAGAGCCAGGGTAGTGTCCCCCCCACAGGCAGAGCCAGGGTAGTGTCTCCCCCCTCACAGGCCCAGCGGCAGAGCCAGGGTAGGGTCACAGGCAGAGCCAGGGTAGTGTCACCCTCACAGGCAGAGCCAGGGTAGTGTCACCCTCACAGGCAGAGCCAGGGTAGTGTCACCCTCACAGGCAGAGCCAGGGTAGTGTCACCCTCACAGGCAGAGCCAGGGTAGTGTCACCCTCACAGGCAGAGCCAGGGTAGTGTCACCCCCAGCCAGGGTAGTGCAGAGCCAGGGTAGTGTCACCCTCACAGGCAGAGCCAGGGTAGTGTCACCCTCACAGGCAGAGCCAGGGTAGTGTCACCCTCACAGGCAGAGCCAGGGTAGTGTCACCCTCACAGGCAGAGCCAGGGTAGTGTCACCCTCACAGGCAGAGCCAGGGTAGTGTCACCCTCACAGGCAGAGCCAGGGTAGTGTCACCCTCACAGGCAGAGCCAGGGTAGTGTCACCCTCCCAGGCAGAGCCAGGGTAGTGTCTCCCCCACAGGCAGAGCCAGGGTAGTGTCTCCCCCAGCGGCAGAGCCAGGGTAGTGTCTCCCCCAGCGGCAGAGCCAGGGTAGTCTCCCCCAGCAGAGTAGGGTAGTGTCTCCCCCAGCGGCAGAGCCAGGGTAGTGTCTCCCCCAGCGGCAGAGCAGAGTGTCTCCCCCAGCCAGGGTAGTGTCTCCCCCAGCGGCAGAGCCAGGGTAGTGTCTCCCCCAGCGGCAGAGCCAGGTAGTCCCCCAGCGGCAGAGCCAGGGTAGTGTCTCCCCCCCCAGGCAGAGCCAGGGTAGTGTCTCCCCCCCACAGGCAGAGCCAGGGTAGTGTCTCCCCCCCACAGGCAGAGCCAGGGTAGTGTCTCCCCCCCACAGGCAGAGCCAGGGTAGTGTCTCCCCCCCACAGGCAGAGCCAGGGTAGTGTCTCCCCCCCACAGGCAGAGCCAGGGTAGTGTCTCCCCCCCACAGGCAGAGCCAGGGTAGTGTCTCCCCCCCACAGGCAGAGCCAGGGTAGTGTCTCACCCCCACAGGCAGAGCCAGGGTAGTGTCTCACCCCCACAGGCAGAGCCAGGGTAGTGTCTCACCCCCACAGGCAGAGCCAGGGTAAAGGCGGGTATAGTATCTAAGTTATTACTGTTTTGTTATTTTAATTTTAGGTGCAACGTCCACTTTTTAGCGTAAAGTCCAAACTTACTTTGGTTTTGGGTAGAGTGGGAAAGATTAGAAGTTTTGTTGGGTTTTTACCTATATCCTTTTATTTACTGTCTGATGGCAGTGGTGTAACCAGTAGACAGAAATAGAGAGAATCCTACTGCAAGGGCATAGACCACAAAATAACATTGACAAGGGTTCTAGTTTTTTCTTACTCTGCTCTTGTTGTCAGGACAGTAAGGTGAAACTCTGTAATGAAATCAAGAATAGCAGATAAAACCCATCTTGCACCCTTGATTATTTTGCCCAAAATCAAACTAAAAAGTCTTGGTTTTAGTTAAAGGCTAAGTTCATAAAAAAAAAAAAACCCCCAAAAAACATACACACACACACTATGCTTTCCTCTGTGGGTATTGCCGTGCCGTACTGTTCTTTTGGGCTAGACATGCACAGTGTGTACTCTCCCCTGTTGCCTATGATGACCTCAACAGCTGTGACAGGAAAGCGTACACACTGTACATGTGCAGCTCAAAAACAGGATGGCGCCTCCAACCAGGTTATTGTCATTAATACTTCATTAAATTTATTTTTTTAAAAATAAAAACAGTGTACATACTGGCATTCAACTTGGTATCAGCCTCTTGTAATTCCTGTACAGTAGACCTTGTTCGGCAGGTAGAAAAAATTCCCATGTATGTATTTTTTTTAATATCTGTATTTAAAGCGAAATTATACTCTCCTCTGCTCCAGCAATGCAACTTCCTGGAGTTTCCTGATGGCTGCTGATATCTTCGAGCAGCCTGGTATCGATTGCCAGTCACTTTCATTGGCTGGACAGAGATAACGTCACTCCTGTGCATGAGTGGGAGTACCGTTGGCTTCAGCATTGCTGAATTTCTGCTGTGAGCTGCGCATGCACAGCTCACTGTATAGGAGTGGACAGGCAAGTGAGCAATTTTAATACACAAGATACAAAGAATGTCTCTCCTCCATTAAAAGTCCTGCCTGTCTACCCATTTTTGTTAATTACATAATGTTCCACTCTGTCTGGAATTTGGCTTTAAAATACTGTTCCTGTTTTCATGAAAAGTGGATCCATATTTGGATCTGGGGTTATCCATTCCATTTGACTAGACGGGTCATCTCTGAGGCAGTGCTTTCTGTTTGAAGAAAAGGCGTAAATGTTCTGATTAACACTCTCTCCTTCCTTTCCCCAGACATACTTCTTGCCTGTCATTGGCTTGGTTGATGCAGAAAAACTGAAGCCTGGAGATTTGGTGGTAAGTATTTCACATTGATGTTTTGTGTCTTCTCTCAGACTACAAAACACCTCCTCCTTATTTCATCTCCATAAGTGTGAGGTGTTTTGTAGTCCAGCAGATGAGAACTAGGCAGGGTTCACAACAAGGAAGTTAAAATATTGCTGGATTCTTGGAATATCATTTTTTTTTTTCTGTAGTTGTATTTTAGAGAAAACATAAGGAAGTTATTTTTGAATATGAATTAATTGCACACATTAGACTATTGCGAGGTCAGTGGGCACTATGTTACTGTGTGTAAATGTATTCTGTTGCATTTTACCATTTTATTTCAAGGAGGTGCCTGCATTATTTTACTTTCCCCTGGTATTCCTCTGAACAACATACTTCCTGTCCCTGGTGGCTACATTTTACTTCGGCAGTGTATTTATGGAAGAATCTATTGTAGGCACACAGGTTGGATTTTAAACATTTCTGCCTTTGTTTAATTCTATTACATAGGGGCTGATGAGGCTTGTAGCTTACACAACAGCCCACAGGGAGTAACAAGGACACTGCATTTCTGGTTAGGTCAATAAGTATTTTCTGTACTTTATGAAAATGTTCTTAGTCTGAAAATATGAAAACTAATGCAGCTACCACATATAAGAACTGGTAAGCTGCAGTATATTATAGTTTTGTTTTTGGGATTAGTTATGCTTTGTCACCTGGAATAATGTGCTGAGGGTACAATGCTGTCATAGGTTCAGGGATGGGTAAAATTGCAGCATCAATATCTATGGTACGTACAATAATTCTGTAGTATTCTCTTCTAGTCCACTGCCTCTGGTTGGGAAATGGTTGTAGAATTCCCTTTTTATTATAATCTGGTCTCTGTTTTTCCAGGGTGTTAACAAGGACTCCTATCTTATCTTGGAGACCCTTCCTACAGAATATGACTCTCGTGTTAAAGCAATGGAGGTGGATGAAAGGCCTACTGAACAATATAGTGATATTGGAGGACTCGATAAGCAGATTCAGGAAGTACGCTGGACTTTGTCTGCATTTTTTTTAGTATCAATTCTTTCATTCTCTTCTTAATTTTATATGTACAACTTTTTTCTTGCAGTTGGTAGAAGCTATTGTACTACCCATGAACCACAAGGAGAAATTTGAAAACCTGGGCATCCAGCCCCCTAAAGGGGTGCTCATGTATGGTCCTCCTGGAACAGGGAAGACCCTGCTAGCAAGAGCATGCGCTGCACAAACCAAGGTAGGTGGTGGCTGAGTAGCACCAGGACACAGTAAACTTGGAAGGCATAAGTAGTTGTGACGCTTGCCTTTGTCTTTAGGCTACATTCTTGAAGCTTGCTGGACCTCAGTTAGTTCAGATGTTTATCGGAGATGGAGCCAAGCTTGTCCGGGACGCCTTTGCTTTAGCCAAGGAGAAGGCACCATCCATTATTTTCATTGATGAGTTGGATGCTATTGGAACAAAAAGGTTAGTTTTCTTGTTTGCCATAAAGTAGCCATGCACAGCCATACTGAATTCAAATGACAGACTATTTGAACGTGCACCCTATAAATTAGCTAAGCTGGAGGGGCTGTTAGGGTTAGGAGGATACTGTGTGTAGCCATGCTTGATGTTATGCCATTAAAATGGGTGTAGCATGAAACATGGTCTAAAAGGTCTAGAGAACTAGGCCTTTGCAGTTATATTTTGCAATTTAGAAACTCTAGAACATTTTTTTTTTGTTTTCACATAAGTTCTCCATTAAGCAGCTGTCAGGAAAAAAAAGCGACATATTTTATGTTTATTTATTACAGGTACTTTATATAGCGTCATCAAGTTACGCAGCGCTTTACAGTGGGTTAGATAAGTATTGAACACTGCGCCGTTTTTCTCCGTAAATATATTTCTAAACGTGCTATTGACATGAAATTGTCACCACATGTCGGTAACAACCCATGCAATCCATACATACAAAGAAACCAAAACAAATAAGTTCAGAAATTAAGTTGTGTAATAAAATGGAATGACACAGAGAAAAAGTATTGATCACGCTAACTGCAATTTATTTAATACTTCATACAAAATCCATTTTTGGTAATGACCGCTTCAAGATGCCTCCTGTACTGTGGTTTTACAGGCACTTTGGTGCATATATTTTGGGATTTCCCATCTATATCTTTGATTTGGCGCAGGATATCCGAGGTGGCCACCTCACTGGCGGGTTCTTTCCATAAGTATGCTTATCTATTCAGACTTGCCTATTGGGGGCTCATATCTCAGGGGTCCCTGATGCCATTATGAGATTGATACATACTATTTTGTGTTGCCACTTGTTTATGGTCTATTGCCTTACACTGGAGATCCAATGCTGTACCTTTGGCCTCCATCCTACACAGAATTGATGCTGTAATGCTCATGGAACGCATTCATTAAATACTTTGCTGGATAAGATGCACTTTTTGATGCAAAAAATGGGAGTCATGGAGGGATTATAGACATTTATTGCATGATTGATAACGTTTTCAGTGAACAATGACTGACAGATGCTGTTGACAGACGTATTATTCAATTTCTCTTATCATTAACGTATTTCATGTACTTGCAATCTACTTTTCTTCTGTTTCTTCTCTTCATTATTATGATATCTTTTTCTGAATTGTACTTTTCCAAAGTGCCTTGTTTTTTGCTGTTAATATTTGAAAATGTGCTGTTATTTTATTGTCTACTTATACTCATAAAATCGTTTGTAAACAAAAAGATGCCTCCTCTATGGAGAAACTAGTCACATGCATTGCTCAGGTGTGATTTTTGGATTTTTGGCCCATTCTTCCACATAGTCAAATCTTGAAGGTTTCGTCGGTCTCTGCTATGAACTCTGATCTTTAGTTCTTTCCATAAATATTCTATTGGATTCAAGTCAAGTGATTGGCTGGGGCCATTCTAGCGGCTTTATTTTCTTTCTTTGAAACCAATTGAGCGTTTCCCTTGGTGGTTTTGTGTTTGGGATCATTGTCCTGCTGAAATGTCCACTCTTGTTTCATCTTCATCATCCTGGTAGATGGCAGAAGATTGTACCAAGAATGTCTTGGTACATTTTTCCATTTATCCTTCCTTCAATGACATGAAGTTTGCCAATACCGTATGCTGAAAAACAGCCCCACACCATCATGTTCCCACCTCTAAACCTCACTGTTGGTATGGTGTTTTTGGGGTGATGTGCAGTGCCATTTGACCTCCATGGTGTGTATTATGGCAACCAAAGAGTTCAATTTTGGTCTCATCTGACCAGACTGTATTCTCCCAGTATTTCACAGGATTGTCTAAATGTTGTGCAGCAAGCTTTAAACGAGTTACAACATGTTTTTTTCTTCAGCAGTGGAGTATTGCGTGGTGAGCGTGCACACAGGTCATGGCAGTTGAGTGCATTAGTTATTGTTTTCTTTGAAAGAATTGTACCTGCTAATTCTAGGTCTTTCTGAAGCTCTCCACAAGTGGTCCTTAGCTATTGGACCACTCTTTTCACTGCTCTGTCAGAAATATTGCGAGGAGCACCTGGTCATGGCCGATTTATGATGAAATGATGTTCTTTTCACTTCTGGATTATGGCCCCAACAGTGCTTACTGGAAAATTCAGAAGTTTTGAAATCTTTCTGTAACCAATGCCATCAGTATGTTTTGCAGCAATAAGGTTTCAAAGGTATTGAGAGAGCTCTTTGCTTTTACCCATCATGAGATGTTTCTTGTATGACACTTTGGTAATGAGACACCTTTTTATAGGCCATCAGTTGAGACGGAATTAGCTGATATTAATTTGCACTGACAAAGGGCAAAATTGCTTTCTAATTACTGATAATTTCAGCTGGTGTCTTGGCTTTCTGTGCCTATTTGCACCTCTCTATCTTCATGTGTTCAATCATTTTTCTCTGTGTCATTCCATTTTATTACACATAACTTAATTTCTGAACTTATTTGTTTCGGTTTCCTTGTATGTATGGGTTGCATGGGTTGTTACCGACGTGGTGAAAGTTTCATGTCAATAGCACCTTTAGAAATATATTTACAGAGAAAAATGGTGATGTGTTCTATGCTTATTTTACCTGCTGTATATTGTACATTCACATCAGTCCCTAACCCTCAAGAGGTGTACAATCTAAGTCCCTAACTCACATTCACACATACACATACTAGGGCCAATTTTTTTGGATGGGAGCCAATTAACCTACCAGCATATCTTTGGAGTGTGGGAAGAAACCCAGGCATGAACAGGGAGAAAATGCAAACTCCAGGCAGGTGGTGCCGTGGTTGGGATTCAAACCAACGACCCTAGTGCTAACCATTTGGCCACTGTGCTTTTAAATGGACTCTACATAAACTACATAATCTTATAAATTGTTTTGCAGGTTTATTGATTTCCATTCAGGTTGGTCTTGGTGTGCATATACTGTATATGTCTTTATAAGTGTAGTTGGGAGAAAAGAATGTGTAAGAGACCAATGTAAATTGTTCACTGTTGTTTGCAAAGCATATATATGTTAGCACTATATGAACAAGGAAAATAAACAATGTATTTTGTCTTGCAGGTTTGACAGTGAGAAGGCTGGAGACAGAGAGGTACAGAGGACTATGTTAGAGCTCCTTAATCAGCTGGATGGTTTCCAGCCCAATACTCAGGTTAAGGTATGTGCCCCTTTTTCAGTGTGCTGCAGACCGTTATTAAAGCGATTTCTAAAGGTTCCTTTTTTTTCATATAAAATAACAAACATGCCTATACTTATCTGCTGTGTGCAGTGGTTTTGCACAGAGAGGCCTGGATCCTCCTCTTCTCAGGTCCCCCCCCCCCCCCCGGCTCTCCTGGCTCCTTTTGTCTGTCAGGTGCCCCCACAGCAAGCAGCTTGCTATGGGGACACTCACTGCTCTGTGTGTCCTTTCACTCACACAGCCATATCTTGGACCCGCCCCCTCTCTCACTGCTGGCTGACTGTGATTGACAGCAGCGGGAGCCAATGGCTCCCACTTGCTGTCTCAGCCAATGAGGATGCAGAGACCCGGGACAGCCAAGGCTGTCATTCACATTGCTGGATCACGATGAGGCTCAGGTAAGTATTGAGGGGGCTGGGGTTGCTGCACACAGGTTTATTATCTTCATGCATAGAATGCATGATGGTAAAAAACCTTCAGCTTTTACAACCACTTTAAGCCCCTTGTAACCTCTCTTTAAATCCCAAATGATATCTCACTTTTTTTGTATGTTTCGTTATAGTCTTTTAAAGCTATGATATGATTTTAGACCTTAGAATGATAAAATTAAATGGTTTTTCCTTTCAATAAAAATACAAACTCCTGCTCTTCCAATGGAGTAGTCTGTGCTGGCTGAGGTGAGTAACAGCCATATACCCCTCATTGCAAGTGTCCTTCTACAGACTGGTATTGCAGAGATGGGGAGGGGAATGTCTGATTAGGTCCGTGTAAAATTTTGAGAGCACTGGGTCTTTTCTTGCACCTATTAGACTGCACAGCCATAGTTAAAATTGAGAACTAGCTATACTTCTAGACTTGTACAGTTGTACAGGCTCTTCTCCTGTACTGAAATTGCTTATCCTGATTTCACTGCACACTGTGAGCTTCACACATTGTAAACTAGAATTTGCAGAAAGTCAGATGGAACTCATCTCACACTCTGGCTGGAGGATGTCCAGCATCCTTATAAACATTTTCTGCCCAGCCTAACTGTTGTTTGCCCGGCCCCTCTCATTGATTGGATTTCAGTTTTTTCAATCATGGCAACTCCGAATCCAACAGCCTGCCTAGGAATGCACACTCCTCCAGAATGATACCCGCTCATCAAGGTGTTTTGATATTTGCATAGCTCTTCCAGAGCCAGCCCACTGCTTGCTTCAGGGCTGAGGGCTTGTAAGAGGAGTGCTGAGACCGGGAACTGATGTTTTCAGGAAGGTATGTACTGCACCCTGCTAACTCCATCACCGGTTGTGATCTGCCGGCATTGCATAGAGAAGGACAGACATTGGGTCTACAATAAGCTATGTATTGATAATGGAAAGGTTTTATTTAAAAATCTTATTAGCACTTTGTTAAAGAGAGAGGAATCAGGAAAGGCCAACTTTATGCACATCAAACTTAGCTCAAAACACTTTTCACTTTTCAAGACCTAGAAAATTAAAGGTGTCATTGAAGTGTGACTGTATATCTAATTCTGTGACTTCAACGAGGCTTTATATATCTCCATTCTGCATAAATAAAATACATTTTGTTTGTACATGAGATGACATTGCTACTTCTGATGCGAACACCTTTAGCTATATTCTCATATGAAAGAGCAGCTTGAATGCAGAGTAGGACATTGAACCATCTGAAATAATTTTGTCTGCAGTAGTCTTCTCCAATATGGCAAGATTGCACAGAAACCTGTGAAATGTGGCATCAGGGAAGCTGAGTTATTTTCTCTGGTTCGGAACTGCACAGCAGTGTTATGTTTAGTATCAGAGGTTACACACAGATATACATTGAAATACAATATAACCTCTGGGCAGGTAAAGGGATCAAGGCACATTTTATCAGTGCAGATAAGATATTCAGTTTTATTTATTGCAGGTAATAGCGCCAACTTTGAACCAAGAATCCAGTGCTGCTTAAACATTTTTATTTTTTTTTACTTGGTTAACTTTTTAAAAGTCCATTATTATTGCTATTCTAAATAGTGTTATCGTATGGATGTGGTAAGTTTGAGGAACCCGTAGTAAACTCACACTCAAACTGATAACCCTAGTGCTGTAAGGCAGGTGTTCTAACCACTAAGCCATTCATTCTCCAGGTACTGCCTGCATACTGTCGCCACATGGCCTTATTATTGTGCACCAGGAGGAACCCAGGACCCACGGCACCAGCGTAGGGTCTGACAATGGGTCCAAGGATTTCATCCCGATACCTAATGGCAGTCGGGGTGCCATTGTCTAGCCTGTAGAGGTCTGTGCATCCCTCCATGGATATGCCTCCCCAGACCATCACTGACCCACCACCAAAACGGTCATGCTGAACGATGTTGCAGGAAGCATAATGTTCTCCACTGCTTCTCCAGACCCTTTCACGTCTGTCACATGACTCGGTGAACCTGCAGTCATCTGTGAAAAGCACAGGGCGCCAGTGGTGGACCTGCCAATTCTGGTGTTCAATGGCAAATGCCAATCCAGCTCTATGGTGCCGGGCAGTGAGCACAGGGCCAACTAGACATATTCCTCAGGCCACCCCCTCATGAAGTCCGTTTCTGATTGTTTGGTCAGAGACAATCACACCAGTGGCTTGCTGGAGGTCATTTTGTAGGGCTCTGGCAGTGCTCATGCTGTTCCTCCTTGCACAAAGGAGCAGATACCGGTCCTGCTGATGGGTTAAGGACCTTCTACGGTCCAGTCCAGTTCTTCTAGAGTAACTGCCTGTGTCCTGGAATCGCCTCCATGCTCTTGACAGTGCTGGGAGACACAGCAAACCTTCTGGCAATAGCATGCATTGATGTGCCATCCTGGAGGATTTGGACTGCCTATGCAACCTCTGTAGGGTCCAGGCATCGCCTCATGCTACCAGTAGTGACACTGACCCTAGCCAAATGCAAAACTAGTGAAAAACAGTCTGAAAAAGATGAGTAGGGAAAAAATGTCAGTGCCCTCCACCTGTAAAACCATTCCTGTTTTGGGGTTTGTCTCATTATTGCCCATCTAGTGCACCTGTTGTTAATTTCATTAACACCAAAGCATCTAAAACTGATTAACAACCCCCTCTGCTACTTACCTGTCCAGACTAATACCCCAGGAGTTTAATTGACTTGTTGCTATACTCTGATTAAAAAGTTTTCCTTTAATTTTTTTGAGCAGTGTTTTAAGAGCTGCCATAACTAACTTGATTTTAAAGGTTCAGGCTTGGGGATGGTCTCCCTGATCTTGGCTCCACTGCTTAAATGACTCGAATCAAACAATCCAGTTCTGACTACGCTGGCTGCATGCTTGTTGTAGGTCAATCACTCTGTATTAAAGAAGGAGAAATATGATGACATTGCCACTCTTTAAACTGGAAACAAAGGGACTAATACTCACCTTTCCAATGGCCCCTCATCGGCGTCTTCTCCTGTGTGCTGTGTTTCGGCCATCCTTGTTGGCTGGTGCGGGATGATGTTACTCCTGCGCATGTGCAGGAACTAGTCATTCCGGCACACAGGGATCCGGCTGGTTGCTGTAAGCTGAGCTGCACAGTTTACATTCTGCAAATCAATGCGAGCTGGCAGGTAGGTGTATTGTTTCGCAAAAAAGACATTACATCTCTCTTCTGCAATAAAATGCCTGCCTGCTCACAGTATGTATCAGTGGCGCTTTAGTTCTACTGTAAAAAAAAAATCATGAGTGACTGCTCCCATATTTTACCCTGATGGATTCTCTTTAACCCTCCTTGTTTAGCAGTCTGAGAGATGCCTGTAGGTTTATTCACTGTTTCTAATATTTTTCTGCAGGTTATCGCTGCTACAAATCGAGTAGATATTCTAGATCCTGCATTGCTGCGGTCAGGGCGCTTGGATCGCAAGATTGAATTCCCAATGCCTAATGAAGAGGCACGTGCTCGAATCATGCAGATTCATTCCCGAAAGATGAATGTCAGGTATGAAGAAGAATGAGTGAATATACCAGTAAGGATTGCTGTTTTTTGTTTTTGCCACTTACCGTATTTTTCGCTGTATAAGACGCACCTGACCATAAGATGCACCTAGTTTTAGAGGCAGAAAACAGGAAAAAAAAAAATTCTGAACTAATGGACTGCAGACACAGTACAGGAGATGACCAGAGACTGCGGACAGCACAGGGATGACCAGAGACTGCGGACAGCACAGGGATGACCAGAGACTGCGGACAGTACAGATGACTGCTGACCTTTGGGGAGGTGGGGAGCGGGTACCTGAATTTGACAGGTACCCGCTCTTCCTTCCGCAGAGTTTGTTTGATCTTACCTGTTCCTCGATCCAGCCGCGCGCTGTCTTCCCGGCTTCTGTAATGGCGCTCGGCATGACAGCCGGGTGCCCAGTGCACATGAGTGAGAAGCACTTGCGCTTTGTGATTGGTCCGGTGGCTTCTGGGATCTGTCGTGTCCCAGGTACCGCCTTACCATTCACAAAGCACACCACTTCTTGCGCATGCGCACTGGGCACCCGGCTGTCATGCCCAGTGCCCACACTACAGAAGCTGGGAAGACAGCACACCGCTGGATAGAGGAACAGGTAAGGTCCCGCTGCAGAGCTGAGCGGCCGGCCCGGTATTCTGACACGGCCGCGGTGGAAATACCGGACCGGCCGTTCCATATTCGCCTTATAAGACGCACTGACATTTCCCCCCCAGTTTTGGGGAAGAAAAAGTGCGTCTTATATGGCGAAAAATACGGTATCACATTTTACTTGCAGCCCCCTAGTGTTCAAACCTGAACTACAAGTGGGCATTCAAGTCAAACCAGGACTTTCGAGTTTCTATAATAAAAGAACAAATTTCAAGGAGTGAAAACTGCATTTGTTTTTCAACATACTGCCCTGCTACATTTATACACTTATCCCAGTGTTTAACTAATGCCTGGAAACCTTCAGCATAGAAAGATTTGCCTGAACCATCCTAGGACAGCCTGCTTCCTGCAGCCTTTGTCAAGTGAAGCAGAGAAAGATTTGTCTCTTGTGCAGTTTCATAACAGTTTATACATTGATTATCCAGGGTCAGGTGTTCCATGCACTGAATGTTCACAGGAATGACTGCTGTGAGCTGGGAACCACCACGGCCGGGATCGTCACTTCCGGATATACGGCCATCTTTGAAACATTTACATCATTCAGAAGTCTTACTGCGACTGAGCGTCTCTTCACCGTACCGTGGTTGAAGTCTTTTGTAGCTATCCGTGGGCGTTCTGTCACAAGAAACTTCATCACCACGCGCTGTTCCATGCACATATGACCACTGTTGTCTGCCATCTTTGTTAATGGTCTCTGGACTGGCCCGCGACGTTTACCGCCTATCAGTAATAGGACACACTTGCCACTTACTACTGTGTGTAGTACCACCATGCTAGCATCCCTTTTCATACCTGTAAAATTAAAGTCCCAGTTTGACTTGATCATCCTTCATAAGTACCTGAATTCTGTCTTTTTAGTCTCCTATGATTGGCTGCACAACAGCATTCAAGCCAGGAGAGAGGGGTATCCGCATTGATCCTTTCAGGGCTCTATTACTTTTGCGGTGTTGCCTGTTTAACTTTTCAATTTGCTTACTGGAAGGTGAAAAGCAGAGAGATGATTTCTGGTATAACTCCTTCATTCTCCAGACAAAGACTGTTGTTGTTCCTGGACCATGTTCTATTGCTTAACTGAAGTAAAAAAAAGGGGAGGTCAGGGACTCGATGTGCATTACAGCAGAAATGACTAGATCACAAGAATGTCTGAACAAAATTTATAAAATCATTTTGCTAGTTAAATACTTCCTATATCTGCAAATATTATTTCCTTGTTTGTGTGAAGTTCAGTTTTTAAAGACACCTGGCAAGACAAAGGCTGTCGCTGATTATTTAACTTTCCTTTTATTTGACCATTTTTGCCATCTGTATTCATACATTATACATAATCATGTGGTCACATTTTAAAGCACTTAAAGTAAACCTGAGTTAATGCAGGGGCTACAATTTGCGAACCTCCTCTTGGAACTGTTAGTTTCCTGACTGTCATGCTGCAGGTCAATGAAAGCGATGCAAGCATTGCTTTCCATAACTGAACCATATGTGGTAACCAGCAATTTTGACTGACAAACATTTTTGCAGCCGTAGCCTAGTAATCCCTTTTTTAGTGTGAAGTAAAGCGAGCATGGTTTTACTGCAGGTGGCCTCATATTATCACCAGTTGAACTGAAGATCATAGTGTGTCCCAGCAGTGTTCAAGGACAGGCCTGTATCTCACTGTCCATTATCTACAGTGAGCTATCTGCCTGTCTACCACTGTCCGATATGGAACTATTGGATACAGATAGAAGTGGTTTAAAGTTTCATTAGTTTATTCTGGTGTGTTTTTTTTTTTTTTTTTTTTTTTCCAGCCCTGACGTAAACTATGAAGAGCTGGCTCGCTGTACTGATGACTTCAATGGAGCACAGTGTAAAGCAGTATGTGTAGAGGCGGTGAGTATAGTGTTGTTGGATTGTTTAAACTTCTGTTGTAGCAGGTAAAGTTTTTGCTTACAAACTTGTTTACAGTTTAAAGAGGAAAATATAGTTTCTTAACTTAAAAAAAAAAAAAAAAAAAAAAATATGGATCAGATTAATGTAAATAACTGAACAATTATGAGGGGAATTATATCAAAACTGGAGCAGCCAGAATCTGGAGCAATTGGGCATGGCAGTCACTCGGCTTCTTTCTTTCATTTTCAAAGCTTAACTGAACAAGCTAAAGCTAGAAGCCTATTGGTTGCCAACTGCTACTGATTCTGCTCCAGTTTTGCTAATGTTGCCCTGTGTGCTTAAAAAAAACCTTTTTAGTGGGCATAGTTTGTTAGTATGTATAGCTTGTACTGTATATGTATCTGCTCATCATGGCCTCATGCACACTTGAACTAAAAAAATGTTGCTTTTGCAGGCGCTTGAGCTTTTGTTTTTTCTCTGCTGCTAAACACCCCTCCATGTTAACCTATGTGTCCATGCACAGGAGTTTAGAGGCAGAAAAAAAAGTCACTTGTGCATTCAAGAGAGGAGCATTTTGGCAGAAAAAAAATGCCTGATGTGCCTAAACACAGGTAAACGCGCATTAATACTAGGCGTGCTTAGTGGGTTTTTTTTTTTTTTTTCATTTCAGTGGCCAGAATAAATTATTTTTAAAGCCAATGAAATGCATAAATGCTCAAGAGCTTGATGCACCTAAACACATTTGAAAAAACTCAGCTTAGGAGCTTTTTTGCAGCTGCTTTTCTCCTGCCAGGAGAAAGGTCTTTAGAGTCCCACTATGCATGAAGCCTACATATGCAGGCTTTGCTTCTAAATGTGTTTCATCTGGAAATAGACAGAACTGTAAAGACACTATCTCTACAATTAAGCCTTTGTCCTGGTGAAACATATTTGAAAGGTTCCAGGTAAGGTTTAATTTTATACGCTGCAAGTACAGTAAAGTTTTACCTTGTCACTGAAACTTTTGGAGAGGGGCTGCTGATCTTCTCTAGACTTTGCAGTGGAGGGTGTGAGCAAGTACCATCCCAGCACTAGTACAGGACAACCTTTAACAAGAGATACTTAGGCCACTAGACCTAGGAATGGTGTTTACTTACTGCTTGCAACTTCATAGCCTTTGTTTGAAATCTTCAGAATGCTGCAGAGTGGTACCTGTGCATATACACTGCAGCCTCCTTTAAAATAGAAGTAAGACAGAGTGACTTCCACCCTCTCTAAACCATCTCTCCCCAAATCCCCTTAGAGATCATAATTTCTCCCTCCACCTTCTCTTATTCTCCTATTCCTCCTTTTTTTTTTTTTTTTTTTTTTTTTTTTTTTGACTATTCAGTAAATTTGACCTCGGCCCACCCTTTTGTTTCCTTCTTCCCCTTTTTAAGTGCAAAACTTTAGTATTGAGTACTAACACAACCCTAGTTTCTGATGGCTTGCACTGACCTGCATATTGATACTTGATATACTGTATGTGATAGCCGAGATGATCCGATACCATCATTTGGAATATGTGGCTATATCACTCGACTACTGTTTCAATTGTTTTCTGTGCATTTTCTTCTTTTGTTCAATGTATCCGTTTTTTAATTTTATACTAATTCCTGGTGCTATTTATAAAATAAAAAATGCAGAAAAAAGGAAAGTATGACCAACAATGTTTGGCTATTCATCTTTTTTGGATCACAGTAGTACATTTACGTTTACTGATTACACTCCTCTGCTGTCAGCTGATTGAGGGCTGTTTGCGGTGCCTCACCAATTTGAACAAAAAGGTTCCTGCACTATTTTTTTGCGATTTCAGGTGCGACTTGAAATGACATCTGTGCATAAAGTCGGACAGATGTCTGCCAAGTCACACCTGAAGTCACGATTTTAAGGTCGGATCCGGTGTGAATCAGGGCTTAATCAGGGAGGCTAGCTGCCTACTATACAGAGATCCACTAACATTTTCACAGCTTTATATGGAAAACTACATATACAGATGTCTAAATTCTTGTAGTTATCTGTATATAAGGCAGTCGGTCAGACTTCTGATTAACTTAAGGATTCATGTGCACCAAGCATGTATTAAGAGTCGCATTTAAAATCAAGGTAAGTATTATCATAGTAACTCTTTAAAAAAAATGGCAATCCTCTCTTCTCTGAGGCTAGGTTCACATTAATGCGGTGTGGTACATCGCATGTGATTCGCACAGGAACCGCACCACATTCCTGTGCAAATCACATGCGATTTGTGTGTGGCGCGATTGGAGCCATACATTTTGTATGGCCCAAATCGCACCACACCTGCACCCAAAAAGTTGCAGGACCCTTTTTTGGGTCCACACTAGAATCGGATTGCATGGGTATTCACACCTATGTGATCCGATTCTGCACATCATACTGTGTTTTGCGGACTGATTTCGGGGTGTTGTTAACTTAACATACACACCCGCAGCGGTTCGCATTAACGGGGTGCAATTCTGATGCGGTGCGGAATTTGCACAGAAAACGCAGTGTGAACCCAGCCTGAAGTATTAAGAAACTCTAAAATACAGCAGCCACAGAGCTTCACACCATTTCACCCGTATTGTTGGAGTGTGAGGTAAAGACGTCATCTGTTATGGAACACCAAGCCTTCCTTTGGAACATTTCCTACCTGGGCCCCTTTGTCACCTGATTACACCAGCATCACACTGAAATCCTTATTGGCTTAATCATTCTGTGCTAGTAACCTGACCTGCGGCATTCTCTTTTTATTCCCATCCAGGGTATGATTGCTCTGCGCAGAGGAGCCACTGAACTGACACACGAAGATTATATGGAAGGCATCTTGGAAGTCCAAGCTAAGAAAAAGGCCAATTTGCAGTACTATGCATAGAGCCCAGATGGGCCGATCTGGTGGAAAAACCCACTGCTTGTTGTGTCCGGACTGTTTTTGCTTTATGTTACAGAAAAAAAAAAATAAACCTGACCTCTTTAGTTGTACAATCTTTTTCCACAACTGTGTCTGCTTCTGTATGAAGCTCTGCTGAAAGACAGTGATCACCCTTCCTGCGCTGCGACAGAGGTTAACACAGGGTTCTGTTTAAAAGGATGGTGGGTTTTTCAATGCAGAATCATTACTACGTTCATAGAGAAGAACCTTGCAAGATAATCTGTGAGGTTGTTGTTTTTTTTTTTTTTTTTTTTTTTATTATTTTCTTTTGAAGGGTATTTGTGAGGGTGGATGGAGTGAAAGCAGCTCCAGCTAAAATGAGTTCAATTGTTTTGAGTGAAGCAACTAATAATGCTACGGCATAGGAAGACATGCCAACCAATTGTGAGCTTCCAGCCTTCTGTTAAAGGGGAAGACCCTTTTCTGTTTCAGCAGTACTGTACCTTGTGTGTACAGCCAGCACTATGAAGATCTGGTTTTATTGGTGGGTGTGGAGGAACTTGAGTGTCTTGCAAAGAGATCTGACTTTCATCCTACTGAACACCTATCAGGTAAATTTGATCTCTGTTTTCAAGCCAGATATTTTTTATCCACAATCAGTATCTGTCCTTGCAGATATTCTTATGGTTGAATGGATACAAATTCCCACTCCATAATCTTGTGTAAAGCCTTCCCTGAAGTACGGAGGCTGTTATAGCCACAAAGAGTTGGTTACCTTATTGCCCATGGTTTTGGGATGGGGTGCCCAATAAGATCATACGGGTGTGAGGATCAGCCGTCCACAAACTTTTGGCTATGTAGTGCATTCCTTTCTTGAGAGGCAAAAACCAGGGTTTGATTCTGATCTAGACCTCTGTTGCTGTCCTGGACACTAGAGAGATAATGCCTACTCTGGCTCAACTGTGACAGGTGAGTTGTTGTTCGAGTATTCACTATAAGGAACATGACCATATTTTGTTTCTTGCACATTCTACCAAATTTTATGTACCAGTTTAGGGGGGAACTGCCATATTTAAGCTGCTCAGAAAAATGTGATTGTAATCAAGCCTTGCCATAATTCACCTACAGTTTTGTTCTTTTATTTAGTTCTAGCTTCTAAAAGCATTTTACCCACTTTACAAAAATGATGCTGGAACAGTAGCCAGAACTAGTGTCTCCATTAGAAGATTTCCCCTCTATTTTCTGGGGACAAACCAAAATTTGGGATATTCTTTTACTTTCAATGACAATGGTAAACAGGACAAATAGATTTTTATTGTTACATCTGCTCCCATTAGGGAGATTCACCCTAACAGGTGTTCTAATCCCTCTCCACTCTAAAACTAAAAAAAAAAAGTTTTGCCTTTAATTATACTTCAGAGAGGTGCAGCTGCTGATCATGCAACCAAGGAGCATTTGACCCACGCAGTCTTCGAGTGATGTCTCTTGGACCAGCCCTTGATGATATCAAGGATATCACTGGAGGCAGGAGCATATGCCTGTCTAAGCCCATGAAGCCTAGGGAAAGTTTTTTTGCAAAGTTTCCTCACTTTCATTTTTTTACTTCTGGAGTATGCACATCTAATCCTCCCAAACTCAGATATCTGGCCACCGGCAAAGCCGGCAAAGCCTGCTAAACACTCAGAAATACTTTCATCAGCATAAACGTGTGCCCCTCTTAAGTGGGGGACCTTTTGGAAATCCTTATGAACACCTAGATAGTTTGCTTCTCCAGCGATTAGGTGTAGGCAGCTGTATTCCAGGGATTGAACTCAGTTTTAAGTTCTCACTTCTAACCTTTCTGTGTCACTGCACGGATAAGCATGCTCCATGTAGGGGTCTTCTGAACCAGGATGTCATTGCTCCAATTCCTGTGGCAGGAGTTGTACCCCAACCTGTTCACTGTTCTTTCCCAAAGGAAACCTCCTTCTTGGTATGGACCTACAAGCCCAAAATGTTTGCATGGCATCCAACAGGAGTGTGTGTGCTGCATTCACAATTTCTTTGGTGCCTTCTTATTCTCTTTTTTTTTTTTCTCTTCAACCAAACACTTTTTTTTTAACTTTATGGTAATTTTGAGTGTCACATTATTTATTTGCACTTTTTCAGTGTGTTTACTGACACGGTTCTGTTAAGGATGTTTGCTAACCTGTGTATGCACTTGCTTTTTATTTAGGTATATTTATTTGCATCACTTACTCATGTACATGGTTGCACATTATAGGTTTTTTACAGTGCGTTTTAGCATTGTGTTCTATAAGTTTTTTCATTGAAATTATTTTTTTCCATAATGCAAGGTTAGCACAGTACAATTTTTTTTTTTTTTTTTTTATATCCTTCACTAGATCTACCATTGCTTCTCTTCTCCAGGACTTTTCTGGCTTCTGTGTTCAGTTAGGATATTTACCTGTCCCCATCTTTGCTCTAATTGTTCATTCTTGCCTTTTTGAATCCTGAGTGTTCACCAGGGTGCTGGTCCTAGTGTTAGCCCGTTTGCGTTTACTGGCAATCCCCATTGTGGGATAATCAGACAACCTCCTGTCGAGAGACCAGTTGGTGGGGCTCTGCTTAACAACGTCTCTCTGATTTTCCAGATATCTCTAGTGATTCAGTTGGATCCTAACTCTTCAAACACCTGGTGCTCATATTCTAGTCTTTAATTCTGTGAGTTGATTGCCTTTCAGCTGTTGCATGAGAGTTGTGAGTCAATGGATAACCTTCCTCATGATAACCCATCTTGTCCAGTCTCACCCCAGTCTGTCTGAGCACTGCACTCTATTGTCATAGGGCAAGTTTACAGAATCCCTGAGCAGACAGCTTTGTCTGTCCCTGAAGACCAGGTCTTTGAGCTCTGGAGTCAATAGTCCATCCTTTCCACCTTCTGGAAGATCCCTATCTTTGGATGCCAGCCTGTCGGTCTGGGGAGGAGGCATGGGCAGCCTGTAGGTATGTAGGATCTATTGTAAGAGAATTCGTATCTCTCAGTTTACATTCTGGTGTTCAGGAGATTGTGGTTGTTTCTACATTGAGGGATTTTCCCCTTGGAAGATCACCTGATGTGTATCCAGTTGGGCAAAGCCATGGTGGTGTTGAGCCTCCACCATCAAGGAAGAACAGGAGGTCTTGCTGCAGCCAGAGTGGTAGTTTGGATCCTGTTCTAGGCAAAACCCCATCTTCTGGTCTTGTTCTCCATGTCCTCCTCCAGTGGGGAAAACTGGTGGTAAACGGGCTTCCTCAACCAGTTACATATATAGAGAGGCACAACACTCAGCTCCGCTGCTGTTGATGGGGGGAGAGAGCTCACTGCATGCTCGCAGTTTGAGCAAATACAAGAAAGCCTGCTGGGGGTGCAATTCTAACCTCAGTTTTGTTCTAACACTTAGGGTTCCACTCCTTGGACGTTTTTGCAGACAGGCATTGGTATGTAATGAACTGGGGATGCTGTAATGCGTGAGATATTTGCTGGAAATGTGCAGTAGGTGAACTAACCCCTTTTAAGGATTTGTTTCCTCCTTTTACTTTCAAGACCTACTTTTTTGGGAGTATTTCTTGAACTTTCTGGCATCAAAAACCTTTTTTCCTATGCAAGACTTGCCACCTGATCTTCTGTTAACAGATTCTTCTACCAGACAAAGGCTGTGGCCTTATCTGATGTCTGCTTCAGGCAGCTCACGTAGCTGCAGGCAGTCGCCATTTTTTTCCCATTGTTTATGGTGGGCTTCTTGGTGATTGCTTTGTTGTCCAATCCTCATTTGGACTCTTTTTGGATGTCCAGAAGGTGAAAACGTCCTGTGTCCTTCAGTAGACGAAAAAGAAGAAAACTGGATTTTTTTTTTAACTCACTATAAATTCCTTTTCTTTTTTTTTCTTTTTTTTTTGTTAGTCAGTTGAGGGATCTATGGTCTTGTCTCTCTGTGTTTTAAGTATGCTTTTGGTACTGCTTTGCTGCCAAAACTGAGAGATGCTGGTAGTGGGATAAGCAGTAGGACAGGTTACTCTGGGCTGGGCTACAGTATTTTTGTTTGTCAGTGTCCAATCCTCTATGAGGCAGCAGTAAAGCCCAAAGGTGGAGGACTTCCTGTGTCCCTCAATAGACTCAAAGAAAAGGATTTTACAGTGAGAACAAAATCCCAATTATCTTTAAACTGCAGAAATGTTGTAATTCTGACAACTGTGGAAATAATTGTCATCAGATTTCCTTCAATTCGAGTGACAACTGTTCTGTAAACCAAAGACAATGTCAGCTGCATGGGGAACCCTTGAACAGCCGTTTATGTGGAAAACAAAGTGTTTATTTTAGTTGATGGATGGATATGGTTAATTCATGTGCTGCTATCAGCGTGTATGTCTTTTTTTTTTTTTTCTTCTGGGGAGTCTGTGCTGAACCTTTTCTGCCCCAGCAGATCAGAGCCAAATGATTTATTACTTTTCTGTCTGGTTGTAATTCCAGTCCTTGTAACACAGATTTACAGTGGATTAGCAGAATTCCCCCTCTGTTGTGTGGTTAAAAAAAATGATATCTCATCCACCCAACTGTCCTCGTTTAAAGGTTATCTTCAGTATAATGCATAAAGGAGATATATGGTGCAGGTGAACAAGAGTATATAAACTATACTCACCCACATGTCACTGATCTCTTAAAAGTTTTGATTTGCCTTTCCATTTTAGTCTATAGCCAGAGGATTTATCTATTTTAACAAACTAAATATTTCCCAGCACACTTACCAGGCAGCCTGCAAAACAACCAAATTGATCCTGCCCAACAATTCATGTTAAAACCAGTTTAATTTGCACACATTTGCAAATATATGTGTACGCCGCAGTGCCCAAATCTCCCAAATTGGAGTTTTATATACTGTAGCAGTGAATAGATTAAGGGCAGGTAAGCCTGGATGAATCCGACCCTTCCTGCCCTTAATCTATCCATTGCTATGTGTGCTCCAATTTGGGAGACTGAGATTTTG